CCTCTTTCTCCACCGAAAGAGCAATGCAGAGGCATGGGATCATGCTTAAGCGGACACCATCACCTGACAAGGGTTTTGTCAAGGAATCTATTGACTCTAATGCCTACCCATCCTACATTTCGGTCATCATCGAGGCTCACCAATGGAGAAACTTCTGTCTACATGAGCAAGATGGTGTACTCCCCATTGTCCGAGAAATCTACGCCAATATGCCCCAAGGAAGGCCCTCAAAGGTGGAAGTGAGAGGAAAGGTTGTACCATTTAGTGCTGCAGCTATCCGAAAAACTTATGACTTGCCCAGGTTGTGGATGAGTTCTATGAGTGGAAGAACACCTTCGATCAAGAAAAGTTGCAAGAAATGCTAGATGAATGCTGTAGACCAGGGACCGAGTGGACCATGACACCCCAACAGCTTATGTTTTTTTCAAGAACCACACTTAAGCCCGAGGCTAGAGTATGGTATCATTTTCTGAAAAACAGATTGATGCCCACGTCTCACATTGAGACAGTTTCAAAAGACAGAGCAGTCTTGCTCTGTTGTTTGTTGGATGGAAGGCCTATCGATGTAGGCTGAATTATACATTTTGAAATCCTGGCTTGTGCCAAGGCTGATAGTGGTTACTTGTGGTTTCCAAGTTTAATAACTCGTTTGTGTAGGGAAGCCAAAGTACCGATTGGAGAGGAAGAGGAGAAAATCAAAATGAATGGAGAAATATCCCTTGCCGCTGCAAAGAGAATATCGAAGAAGGTTGAAGAGTTAGCACAAGGAAGTTCTATTGCAACTCCCCAGAAAAATGATGACACAGCACCACCTGCTGAAGGTGCTAAAATTTGGGAGAAAATTGATAAGAGGCTAACAAAGATGGAGAAAGTCCAACTGGAGACAAGAAAACTTGTGATGAACAAGTTGAAAGATATGGATAATTTCATCTTAGGCCAGTTGGGATTCCTCAATTATGCACCTCAAGCCTCTGATGCAGTAATGCCGATGCAGCAAGGGAGTGATGATGAAGGAGAAAAAGAAGAAGAAATGGAAGAGGAGGTTGAGCAAAAAGATGAAAACATGGAAGATAATCCCTCAGACCAAGAAGAGCAAGATGAAGACTAGATCATAACTTGTAATAGTTTTAATTTAGAAGAAGGAAAAATATCTAGGTTGTATTGCTCCTTTATTTTCTTTTTGCTATATATGTAATCCTCTGCATCACTTAGGAAGTTAATGAAAAAGAGGAACATGTTTGCTAGTCAGTTAGATTTTAAATTCGGTAAATTTAATTTCTGTTTGTGTGAATAAAGAATTTAGGTATATGTTACAGTATGAAAATAAGAAAAAGAGTTGGAAAATAAAGAGTAACAAGAAGTTAGAATTAATGCTGCATCAATAAGGTAAAACAGAATGCATCCTTAGCTATGTTGTTATGATCCTTTTTGCTGTAGCAGGATAACAGTAGTCATGTTGAGTGAGAGTAAGTGTTCTTCAACTAGAACTTGCAAAGCAATGGAGGTATGAATTGAAGGCTGAAATGATCAAAGCAGAAAGCAAATGGAGTGATTGAACATGAAGCACAAAGAATGAACTTGAAAGCAAGAGAAGCCGAAAGAGTTGATTGCGGATGAGGACTTAGGATTCAAGGTTTGATGGATTTGAATCTTACCATATGAGTAAGTCTTGAAGGCTATAAGGGTGAAAGAAGCTGAGCTAAAGCAAGTGCAAAAGCACAAGTGAAAAAGAAAATCCCCTCACAAAAAGAGAAATCAAAGTCAAAAGCACAAAAATAAAATAAGTGCCAATGCACATGAGCAAAGCTCACAAAAATAAAAGAGGGAACCGAAGTCAAAAGAAAAGCAAGCAAGGTGGACACTCGTTCCTTCAATTCTCTACACGTAGGTTTTGATTCAAGTTCGGCAAAGTATGGATACAACAACTAAATCTTATGATTCTTAGTTTGATGCTCTCAAGTGGATCAAGCAAACAAGGAAGTTCTTCAACACACACACTCAATACTCCAGAAGCAAGAAGCCAATAGAAGTTAAGCTAACAAAGAGTCCCAAGATTGAAGTGTAAACCAAGGTTGAAAGGCAACTCTCACGTGTACATTGCTGTTGGAATGCTACATCAGAAGTGCTCATCTCAGTAATAGTCATTGCTGCACTTATGTTGCCGAATTTATGCAGACCAATTAATCATTTTCTTCTTTGTTACTCGAGGACGAGCAACGTTTTGAGTTTGGAGTGTGATAACTCTCCCAAATGAGAGTTAATTTAGTATTTTTATGATGAATTTGTTGCATAAATTCCATATAAGTTGATCTCTTTGCATGATAATTGAGCTAAATATTATATATTTATGATTAAGTGCTTTGAGCTGACTATGGAAAATAAGATAATATTCCTTGATTTTGTAAGAAAAGATGACTTGTTGAGTGTTTGTCTTTGCAGGAAAAATTGATGTAGGAAGGCTGTAGTAGAGAAGCTGACGAAGTAATGATATAGCAAGCGCTACAGAATGACAGCGTGGACAAAGGAACAACCGAACTTTTGAAATTCAAAAATTAGTTAAATCCCAACAAATGGATAAGACACCAGCAAGAACAAGGGACGTTTCTGAAGATTTAATCTTATCCCAAAATCACAAGGATCAAGGACAATATTCAAAGATTGAGTCTTATCCTAGAATCCCAAAGAACAAGGACAACAAACTTTTGTTCGGTCAACAACATTGGCACAAGAAATCCGAGAAGATCAAGATCTTATCCAAGTAAGTGCCAACAAACCTAAAATGCCAAAGAACAAGGACAACAAACTCACACTCACATTCGGTCAACAACAACATTGGCACAAGAAATTCAAGAAGATCAAGATCTTATCCAAGCAAGTGCCAACAACCCAAGAATCTAAGGATACGATAAGGCTGCAGCAACAAGATTCATGGATTTTCACTCCTAACCCTAAAGCCCAATTTTCCAACCATTTTTCCTATTTAAAGAAGAGTTCCCCCACGAGTTAAAACATAGTTGGGAACACGTTTTTGAGGAGAGTTTAGAAAGGATGAAGGTTCGAGAAGTCAGAAGCAAGTGGGAACGTTTTAGAGAGAGAAAGAAAGGTCCTTAGAGGAGAAAGAGCTGCTGGAGCAGTGCTGGAGCAAGGCACTGACGACGTCTTCCTACAACATTCGTTTTCATCTTCTTTTCTGTTTTCCAATGAGTTCTTTCTTCTTTTTCTCTGTTTTATTTAATTCCATTATGAGCTAATTTTCTCTATAGGTTAGGTGATAAAGTACCTATGCTGTAACATTGAGATGTATGCCTAAACTTTGTTTAGTTATTCAACGAGTTTGCTTAATCTTATTCATGTATGCATGTCGAGAGATACATATGTGATATTGAGGAGGTTGGGGCCGAGAGGTTTCCTAACCCATACCCTTGTTGAATTGTGTGGATTAATTAGGTTAAGTTAACTTAATTAAGTTGTGGGTAGAGAGATCATTCACACCACATAGCTAGAACTTGAACTTGAACAATTCAATGATTAGTTTGACCATAGAGATGTGGGAATTAGTTATTGGGTATATATGTTAGGTTGGCCAAAAGCCCCAACATACCTTAGTGTTCGGTTACTAGTTAAACATTGATATAACATTGTTAAACCATCGTTCCAGTATTGCTGTATCAGGGAAATTGAACCTGACCTATATCTAATCCATAATCTTAATACCTATTATTTTAGTTTATTGTTTTCTTAAATTTAATTGTCTTTTATTTTACAATCCAATCATCACAATCAATCATTTTACCTACTTTCTTCACCTAAATAATCATTACTTGACACTTATCTCCGTTGGAACGATACTTGGACTCGCACATCCCTTTATTACTTGTGACACGTGCACTTGTGTATTTGTGTGGAAGATTTAATTGATTACAAATTGCACAACACAGGGCTAGATGGTTGATCAAGTGATCAACCTTTCCCATAGGATTATTGTGGCAATCCATCCCTTCATCTTGTTATCCACCTTCCAATAAGAGCAAGGATATTGTATCAATTCTTGAGTGACCGAAAGTTAGTTTTCCCAGGACTAGGAGTCTTCTTTCACAAACTCTAAAGATGGATCCATTAACTCCTTCATGATCCCTTTACCGTGCATGGACTGAGTCTTATGGAACTTATCTAAGTCCCACTGGTCTCTTGTGGATAACTTATCTCTTACAGAGATGATGAATCCTATCAACTTGTCCATCTATACTCATGCCCTTGGGTCATAACCAAGAGTATACTTTGCTTCTTATGTTTCAAGCGGATACAGTTATACAGTCAAAATATGACCCTCAAACATAGTAATCGATGACAACCTGAACTCTAAGAATGATCCGCACTACCATATGATGAGAGACTGTATCCAACGATACATGCTATAAGGATTCCTTGTGGAGTCTCTCGAAGGGTCAGTTCAGTGTGATTTGTTCCACCAACAAAACCAGCTAAGGCATTTCCATGCCCGCATCCATGAGTTTGTACCTTACATCACATGTAAGTAGCTGGATGTCGTACTAGTTTGATCGAGTCAACCAAAGCTTTTCTTTGTGACTCTCGACTAGAAACATTATTTAGCGAATAATCAAATATTGTATTCAAGCCCTCATGATCATAATCTCATCATAGATCCTTGAGATACACCTTGATTATTCCAAAGGTTTTTATCTATAAATTGTTAAAATAAGCAATAAATGGAGACAAAATAACAAATAAAGTAAATGCTCTAAATTATTATTCATGAAATAATGACAATTACATGGTGTCATTTGGCTAACAGAATAAATAGGTAGACCATTCGGATCATGTTGTTGAGGGGCACAAAACAACCATACATTCAAGTACGGGAGAGTCATCGTTCAAGTTAATTTATGGTTGTGATGCAATGATTCTGGTTGAAATTGGTGAAGCCGCTTGGACAAAGCAACATATCTCATAAGAGATCAATGATTAAATGCTGCAAGAAATAAGAGAAATGAACAATATCATCAACATAGCATGAAAACAAAGAGTTGCAGCTAGATACAACAAGAAAGTCATTTGTAAGAGCTTTGAAGTAGGAGACTTGGTTCTGCAAAGAGATAATATAAGACACAAAAATGCATCACAAACAAGGAAAGCTAGCACCCAACTAGGAAGGACCTTTTCTTATCATTGGAAAAACTGGTCATGGAGCACACACTTCAGCACTTCGATCAATCCCCCATCCCCAGAATGTGGAACGCCATCAAGTTGAAGAAGTACTATAGTTAGCTTAAGTTGTTTGTGTCGTTGTAATCGTTAAAGCAATGAATGAAGAGGAATATATACTACTCCAGTATGCCTTTAATTCCAACAAATGACAAAAGTCCTATCCCGCCATTCCGGACTAGGAAGACAAAAGTCCTATCTTGTAAATCTAAGACTAGGGAGACAACAGACGTATCCCCCCATTCCAGGACTACGCAAACAAAAATTCTATCTCGTAAATCCGAGTCTAGGAAGGTAAAAGTCCTATCCCCGAATTATGGGACTAGGCAGACAAAAGTCCCATCTCCCAGCTACAAGATTAGGAAGGGCAGAGTTCTACCCCAACATGACAGAACAAACAAACCAGAGGCTCAATTCATATAGATAAAAACTAAAGAAAACAAGCCAGCAGAAAAGGAAAAAAAATTAAAATAGTCGAAATAGAAACAAAAATAGAAAGCGCACTAATCACAAAAGTAAATTGAGAAGAAAAATGAAAGTGCATTAAAAATAGAAACAAATTGTTTTTAATACATCAATCTAGGTTGGCATTCCAACCCATAGGTAAAAGAAAAATAAGGAAATCGACAGAATTAAATCTAAGGAGCATCACTTGAACCTCCATCACCGCCCCTAGAGTGAACAATCCTATTATCGGCACCAAATGCAATCTCTTCATCACAAGGCCACAAAACTTTGATACCTCCAGGAGAAGATTTGATCCTAAGATATTCACTGTAGAAGTCTTCCCTTCTTCCTCACAAAGTTCTTCCTCCTAAACAGTGATACACATCTCCTCTGAAGGCATTGATACTCAATATCAAAATCCTTAAGCTGATAAGTAAAGCAACCATGAACCTCAACGTTGTGGAATCTCATTCATTTCTTATTGAACTCTCATTTGGATTGTTATCAGCTTTATTTTCTAAATGACCCATTGTTATTAGCTTTGTTTTCTAGATGACCCGATTGTGGTATTGAACGTTTACCAGCCATAATGTAGATACGAAAACTGAAAAATCCCAAAGCTACAAATTTATAAATTTATAATCGTTTTACCTTACACATTGGCTAATTATTATTATATTATTGGCTAATTACCTGAGCGCTTTTCCACTGGAAAACGAATAGATCAAGTTACCAAGACATGGAGCTTAACTACTGATTCACCGCGAAAAATATTCTAAGATTATAGGGAATAGAATAACAAAGTATCATCAACTTCCAGTACACGATTGTAACATCACAGAATATAAAATATTTAACTATATGAAACAATGAAATAAATGAAACTCAACTTTTATCTCTCTTTTTTATCATTATTCTTTCACCGGTAACACTTCCTTTCAAAAAGTGGATAAAGACTATCCAGGGTCCACCCCAACCACACATTTCAACTGTACGGACAATCCCCGGATATTTCCATTACATTCTTCTCATCTTCATTCCAATAAAATCGACGTCGTCCCCGTCCGTAGCTTCAACAACCAGAGACAGAAAAAAGACATTATAAACCTCATCTACTACCTACTAAAACATCTAGATATTAAAATTTCCACCTCCATGTACTGAAGAAAATTCGAAAACATCAGCCGTCTCATTACAGTAAAATATATATTTACCAATTTTTATGCCATCGGAAATGAAGACACTGTGATTCTTAAGAATTGGACTACATCGCACCCAAGCTGCCTTCTGGCTTAGTAGATTCTGTTCTGACATAGGTGAGACCACGAGCTGCAGGAGCAGCAATACTGCCGGGTTTCAAAGATGGACTAACCTGAGCATCCCGCTTCCATTGTAAGCTCCTTGCACCCAATTTAATAGTGGGCCGGGTTCTAAATGCACCTGGAATACCTCTTGCAAAGGGAAGTCTGGAAAACCTAGCAGAAGGAAATGTAGATCCCCTAACAATGCGTGGCCTGGCTATGGTTGGGGCTGATCCTTGATGTACATCACTTTTCTTAACAACCTGCAATACAAGAGTTACACGTCTTTCGTCTAAAATCTAGAAAAATTGTGAGCATACTGCATGCATTATTTTCACAGTTTCATATCAAGCCTGCAAAGTTGAGTTATCCTGCCATGATTTATTTAGCCAAAATTGCATGGAGGCTGCCTCATTATCCTGTACAATTTAACAATTGCTTTGCCCCATTAATGTTAAAAAAGTGTAAGGGACGTTTGGTAGGGGGAAAAAAAATTGTTCATGGGAAAGTAATTTTCCCAAAAATATTACCAAAAAGCTGTTTGGTAGAACAAAATATTATCAGGAATGTTGGCTCAAGTTCCTTGATTCTATGTTTGGTTGATTGTCAAATATTATTGGGAATAGGTAATTTTACAAAACTATCCTCTGATTCTTTTTTATTTTTTTTTTATTTTTGGTTTTATTTCTGGTAGTGATTTTGAGACTTTAATTTGTTTGAACAGGTTGCGACCATGTGTAAGGAGAGGCTACACAAGATTGTGAAGGAAGAGATTCACGTAGCGCATGAGAAATTGGAGCGGAAATCGACGAAGGAGCATGCTTTCGCTCGAATGGACGATGAGGTTCAGAGCTAGAGTCAAAGCAAGCAGACCTCAGCTTGCAGGTGCGAGCTTCAAACTCCTCACTGTGACGTCGTCAGATCCACCGCCATCATCACCCCTGACAAGCTCGTCGTCTCCAACTACGATGACTCCCGCGCCGTCCTCTTCCATAACAGCATAGCCATCCCCCTCTCCTCGGATCACAAGGTCACTTTCCCGAGAAACAAAACAAAACAAGAAGGGTATTTTTATTCGGAAAAAATGGGAAATTTTCCCACCGGGTGGGAATCCAAGAATACCACCCACCCGATGGTATTCTTCAATGGGATTTTGCTTCACAAAAATAAATCATGGGAATCTGATTTTCCCAGGAAAATTTTCACAATCCTTGTACCAAATGTGGGTAAATAGGATTCCAAATGTTAGTTTTCCGGGAATCTAAAATTTACCCATATACCAACCTAAAGATTCTAATTTTTTACCAGGATCAACCCACTACAGAATTCCAAAAACTCATCCATTTTGGTGCCATGTATAAGCCTCGTAAAGGCCCCATAAAAAAACAATTTTTCAAATTTTAAATCTTATTAAGCCTTAGAATGAGTATTTAGTGTTCATTTGACAATCCAAAATTACAAGTCATTTGGTCCTAGTACCAACATTCCCAATTCCAAAGTCTACTTAGAAAAATAAAATTGACCCTACGTTTGTTTGTTAGGTGATGAGGACAATATGATACTACCCATTCAAAAAAATCAAAATATTCCTTATCTGATGAGGCTGTGTGTGATGGTGACTCAGCTAACAGTTGCAACCCAATGTTGGAACCGACTCTTAACAAAGTGGGTGGCATGGGAGAATAGGAAAGGGTGGTAATGTAGTTGAGAATTTGGCACAGGAATGGAAATATGGAGTCTGGCTTAGACTTTGGGCTTGGGAGAGTAGAACCTCTCCAATGGCTCTACATTATCCATTTCTGCTATGCTTGTAATTTCCTTCATTTTAGTTCAATTTGATGTTTCTTGTAATCAGTGTTCCAATTCTCTGTATTGTTGAGTATAATACCAGTAATACAAGCTCTGCTTCTCATTCAATTCATTAATTGTGCTATGTAATTTACCATTGTGATGAGACTAGATCTGATAACAAAGAAATAAAAGAACTCAAGCAGCTTTTGGCCCAGATAAATATCTAGATTTTCTGTATATTGAAGAAACAAAAGAATGCAATAATCGAAATTTGCAGAAAACAACTACTACACAACAATGCAGTTTACAAAAAGAAAAAAGCTAAAGATTAACAGATTAGAGAGATGTTCAGCTCTCCAAGTCCAAGTTCCAATTCCAATTCCAAGCTCCCTCCCTTTCGCATGCCCAACTCACTATATAACCAACCTTCCTAACCAACTTAGCCAGCTAAGCACCTACATAATAGAATTGCACACACTTAATTACATCTGCTATCATCCAAAATATTCTAATGGTTAATTATTCCCGTGACGCCTCCTACCATACACCTTCACATCGTATCAATACTCCCCCCAAACACTCACCTTGTCCTCAAGGTGAGGTTTAGCCCCCAAGCACCTTCCATCGGGATCCCATTGCTTGAATTGTACACAACAACTTATGACAAAGGCACAGTGATTTCCTATGAGGTCCCATTGCTTATCTACATTAGCTCCATCATCACTTTGCAGCACAAGAAGCTTTTTAACACACCAAAAATAGTGCATGATCCATGACAAGAATGAATCCCAATCACTTGCTCCAAGATTGAACAAAGTCGACCACTAAAAAGAACAAATTCTGGAAAGAACCTCAATGCTGAGTGCCTCATTGTTTGATTTCTGAACATCCACCTTAAACATAGGGTACACATTCCCCTCTTGAAAATTCAATGAATAAAATATTCTCCTACCCAACCATTGTGACTCACAGAGATAGCATTCAAGTCCTCTGAAATTGGTAGCCATACCAATCAATAAAGCATTTTCGCAAAAAAAAAATCGAGCCAAGGAATAGCTTAGTTATTGAAACAATACTCCAAAACAAGCAAAAGATTGGTTATTTTATATTGGAAACAAAATACCTTAAAAGTAAAATCAATAACAGTAAGAACCTTGCTACCTGATTGCCACCATTGAGGATTGGCTCTCCTCCTTCTCGTCCTTATTTTCTTCTTTCCACGCGAGATTGGTACAAGCATAAGTGTCATTTATACTCGTTACCTGATTGGCCTTGATTCCCTTGAAAGTTGAGTCGATGATGCTTATCTGGTCTATGACGTCAACGAACAGTCCCACCCACCCGTTATGGTGGCCGGCGCTGCTGAGATTTGCTCCCTCATGAGCTTCTGCTGTTTCATTAACCTCAGGTTGAATTCAGCACCCAAAAACAAGTAGCACCTTGGGTTTCTTGGTCCACTTTGTCCAAAGAGATTGATGGGCTCATAAGGCCAATCCTTCAATAAAGCATGGAACGATATGCCAATTTGTTTGGGTTGGGTTGGGGGTAACTTAACAAAAATTTGAGCCGAATCAAAAATATACCCAACCCCATCCCTGATCTTGTTCGGTCATCTTCCAAATTCTTGTGTTTGAATTTGTCTCCTCCATTCATGGCTGCCCAAGGAAGACTTCTCTACCTTCTTACAAAGATTCAGATATGGTGGTGGCTCCGACAAGTGTGGAGGATCAACCACCATCACCAGAGGTTGTAGTAACTCTGGCGACTACACTCCCGTCGCAAATGTCTTGTCCGTCTCCATAGTTTTTTCGTCTGCCTTTTTCATGATTCCCTAATTTTCCCCTCCTCCCTTCTTCTTTGTCAACCATTCTTAAATCGAAACCGATTCTATTCTTGCCGTTTTATCGTCACCATTAGTTTCCTTCTCATGTTTCAATGTCTCCTCCTTCTCCCAAATCGATTTCTACCGCGATTCAGATTTTGGTTTTTAAGGATCCCATTGTTCATCATTCACCAAACAAATTTCCGGTAGATATTTCCCAATAAATGCTTTTGTAAAACTCCACCAGCTTGGCTTTGGATTGAGCCAAGACCAACATTTATACCATGTGAGTACAGATCCTCTAAGCCTCTTCACCACCTCTGTCAACTTCTCTTTATGTGTTCTTTCTGCCTGGAAAAATAGCTTAAGATTCCCCAAGCTTCATCACCTTCTCCATAGAACTTGGGAATTTCTCTTCATAAATTTTTTTTCTTAACATGGCCATGGCCATGGTTCAAAGCTACCTGGATTGGATAGCTCTAATACCGATTGATAAGACTAGATCAGATAACAAAGAAATAAAAGAACTCAAGCAGCTTTTGGCCCAAATAAATATTTGGATTTTCATTGTACCAAAAAAAAAATCTGGATTTTCTGTATATTGAAGAAACAAAAGGTTGCAGTAATGGAAATTTGCAGAAAACAACTATTACACAGCAATGCTGTTTACAGAAAGGAAAAAGCTAAAGATCAGCATATTAGGGAAATGCTGAGCTCTCCTATTGATACGACGTGAAGGTGAATGGTAGGTGTCACAGGGGAATAATTAACCACAAGAATATTCTGGATGATAGCACATGTAATTAAGTGTGTGAAATTCTGTTATGTAGGTGCTGAGCTGGCTAAGTTGGTTAGGAAGGTTGGTTATATAGTGAGTTGGGCATGCGAAAGCGAGGGAGCTTGGAATTGGAATTGGAACTTGGACTTGGAGAGCTCAACTTCTCTCTAATCTACTGATCTTTAGCTTTTCCTTTCTGTAAACAGCATTGTTGTGTAGTAGTTGTTTTTTGCAAATTTCCATTACTGCAACCCCTAGTTTCTTCAATATACAGAAAATCCAGATATTTATTTGGGCCAAAAATTGCTTGAGTTCTTTTATTTCTTTGTTATCTGATATAGTCTTATCACATTGTTGGTTGGGTCAATAACAAATTGGTATCAAAGCTAAGATCTAGGAACTCTATGGGATGGTGGCTACTCAAAGCACATAGAATCGATCGAAGAAGCTGGAGAAAGGCCGGATACAAATAATGTGATGCAAGAGGTGATCCGTCAACTGGAAGCAAATGTGGCTGTATGCGTGAAGAGATTATTCGCCAATTGGATGCCATGGTATATAACATGGCATCACTGGACGATCAAAGTTGCTCATACAGCCATGGAGGGAGAAGCAACAGTGGAGGATCAGAGAAGCTACGTGACCCCCAATGGAAGGGACCTTGTTTCAAGTGTGATGAGATGGAATCCATGGCGTAGGTGCAATATTGAGCAACTACATTTGTTGATTGTGGACGAAGGGGATGAAACGAGTGAGGAGCAGTTACATGCAACACCGTTTGGAGGAGCAGACGAAAAAGGAAGAAAGGAGGCGTCACAACCCTCAATGCATAGTCTCCTAGGGCTTACTTCAAGATAAACCTTAAAGCTTTGGGGGAACTAGTGATCTTGATGGTCGAATTTGGAGCTTTGAACAACATTGTGTGACAAGAGATTGTGGAACAATTAGGACTCACCGTGATAGAAATGCCATTGTACTAGGTGCAAGTGAATGATTGTCATATGGCTAGTTGTCGAGGTGTTATATAGAAGAGTTGAGATTATGCTATAGGAAAATAAAGTGAAGTGTAAAGAACCAATTTAACCCAAAAGCTTAAGCTGTTGGGTGAGGTTATATTAATGATTTTATATATCTCAACACGCCCCCTCACACGAGAGCCCACTAGGCTTGAAGGGTGGACAATACACAGGCCCACCAACCTATGCGAAGAAAGAAATTCCACTGTAAAGAAAGTGGCGAGCGGTGAGGATCGAACCCGGTACACCGAGGCTCTGATATCATGTAAAGAACCAATTCAACCCAAAAGCTTAAGTTGTTGGGTGAGGTTACATTAATGATTTTATATATCTCAATATGAAGCAAGACCTTTACTTGTTTGAACTTGGGGGTATAGATGTAGTTCGGGGATTGGAGTGATTAATGCAACTGAGAGATATCAAGGCGAACTTCAGGTAGATGATGATGAGATATGGGGAAGCTAGAAACGAAATGGTGATTAAAGGGGATCGTACTCTATGTAAATATGTTGCTTCACTAAAGTATGCTATGAAAGCTCGACAAGAGCATGGGCAAGGTTTTTTCTTGAGTACTAAAGGAGAGGAAAAGAAGGAAGGAGAAACTACATAAGAAGGATTGGAATCTTTGTTTATAGTGTTTGAGGACCTATTTAGAGAACCCAAGGGCATACCTCTGAAAAGGACTCAAGATCATACCATAAACCTCAAGCCAAGTAGCCTAGTGCCAAATTCTTGACCATACAAGTACCCACATTGCCAGGAATTTAAGATTGAGAATTTGATATGTTAGAAGCTAGAGAATGGAGATGTTAGACATAGTATTAACCCTTACTCAAGCCCTATCATTCTAGTAAAGAAGAAAGATGGGAATGGAAGAGTGTGTGTAAACTATAAGGCATTAAATAAGATTAGCATTCCATATTCCTATAATAGATGAATTATTAGACAAGTTGGGTGGCCCAAAGGTGTTTTCTAAGCTAGACTTGAAGTTTGGCTATCACCAAATAAAAATGAGGGAAGATATCCCTAGACTTGAATTATTAGACAAGTACTTATTAATGCCTTTTGGATTGACAAACAAAACCAAGGCTATGATTGACTAGTCCATGCCTAAGGATCTTAAAGCACTAAGAGGAGTCTTGGGGTTAACAGGTTATTATAGGAAATTCATTAAAGATTATGGTAAAATAGCAAAATTCTTAACAGACCTGCTGAAGAAGGATGGATTTAAGTGGAATGGGGCTGCTGAATAATCTTTTTATTTGTTGAAGCGTAATATGAGCACAATAGCAGCTTTAGCCTTGCCAGATTTTTCCAACACTTTTACTATGGTCACAAATGCATCTGCCAAAGGAATAGGTGTTGTCTTAATACAGGGCAACATACCAATTGCTTATACAAGTCAGAGTTTTTCCCCTAAGGTACAAGGAAAGTCAGTGTATGAGAAGGAATAAGTGCCATAGTGTTTGAGGTGCAAAAATGGAGGCACTACTTGATGCGGCGTCATTTTAATATAAAGTCAAACCAGAGAAGTTTCAAGTGTCTCACGGAACAAAGAGTATTGGGTGAGGACCAGCAAAAATGAACTTCAAAGTTATTGGGGTTTGATTTTGAAATTCAATACTACCCTGGTAAGGATAATCAAGTTGTTCATGCTTTCTCTTGTCAAGCGCAACTTGCCAACATCTCAAAACTATAATTACTGTAAAGAACCTTGGGATACACCACCCTAAAAGCTAGCTCAAAGGGTGGGAGTGTCCAAGGCCTTATAAACTCCACATTAGTTGCACATACAACCAATGTGGGACTATATATCTCAACACGCCCCCTCACACGAGAGCCCATTGGGCTTGAAGAGTGGAAGATGCAACAGGCCCAGCCTACCTGTGCTAAGAAAGTCCACAAGAGAAAGTGGGAGGCGGCAAGGCTCTGATACCATGTAAAGAACCTTAGGATACACCACCCCAAAAGCTAGCTCGAAGGGTGGGAGTGCCAATCCCAAGGTTCTTTACAATTACCAAAATTGGAGGAATTAGAGGCCGAGGTTCAGCAAGATAACAAGCTCAAGGCCATTTTACAGGATCTCCTTGTGAGTAAAGATGAGCACCAGGGGTTCAAATTGAGAGGGAACAGTTTATATTACAATGACAAAATGGTGTTGCCTAAAAACTCAAGGCTCATTTCTTCACTCCTCAGAGTTATATGATTATAGTTTGGATGGGCATTCTCGTTATTTTAGGACCTATAAAAGGTTGACTGCTAGGTTGGTACCTTGGGAAGGGATGAAGAGGTGTATCAAAGAGTATGTGGCAGCTTGTGAAGTCTGCCAGCAAAATAAGTCACAAACCTTGACTCCTACAGAGTTGTTACAGCCCTTACCCATCCCAACCAAAGTCTAGAATGATATTGCAACGATTTTACAGGGGAACTGCCAGAGGTTATGGGATTTGATACCATTTTGTGGTAGTGGACTGCTTCACCAAATATACTCACTTTTTGCCCATTAAACATCCTTACAAAGAAAAGGATGTTGCTGAATTATTCATAAGAGAATCCCATGACTATTGTATCTAATCAGGACACAGTTTTTATAAACTCCTTTTGGTATGAGATCTTCAAGAGTGCTGGAACTAAGCTCCATTACAGTTCTGCTCATTACCCACAAAGCAATGGGCAAATAGAGGTAGTGATCAAGTGCTTGAAGGTGTATTTGAGATGTTTTTGAGGACCTAAACCAAAACAATGACCCAAGTGGGTCTGATGGGCATAATTCTAGTATAATGTAACTTACAAGATCCTACGGGAATGACAACCCTTTAAAGCATTATATGGAAGAGATCCCCCAACTTTACTGAGGCAAGGTAGTTATATTTCTAATCTTGATGTTGTGCCCCAATCCTTGGTGGCATTCAAACAGGGGTGCTAAATAGCACAATTAGTTTGATTTTGAAAATACATGGAAGATTATTTTGTTATTAACAGGCAGTTTCTAGAATTTCACCATGAGGATAAGGTGTTAAAAATGGGGAGAGTATTGATGCGGATTAGTCCTCGGGAGTATACCATAGGGATAAAAGGAGGAGAAATGCTAACTTGGCTAATCAGTTGCAACCCAATGTAACTGACTCTAACAGAATGGGTGGCATGGGAGGTGAGGAAAGAGTGGTTAAGTAGTGAGGATTTGGCACTGGAATGGATATCTAGAATCTGGCTTGGACCTTTGGCTTGGAAGAGAGTAGAACCTCTCTAATTGCTCTACATTATCCAATTCTGTTTTGCTTGTAATTTCCTTCATTTTAGTTCAATTTTTCCAATTCTCTGTACTATTAATTATTGTACCTGTAATACAAGCTCTGTTTCTCATTCAATTCATTACTTGTGCTCTGTAACTGTTATTGGCTGGGTCTTTATCAGTGTGTTACAAATATATTAATAGTGAGTATAGAAATTTACATCCTCTAAAATGAAAAAGGAATAAAAGGGAGAAAATGCCTGAAGCAAACTAACCAAAAACTTGAGGGAGGGGGGAGACAGGAACCTTTAGAAAGCAGAAGTACCAAGCTGTGATCAATACCTTGAGAATCCGTGACATGAAAGAAGTGCCATCCAGAGATAAGGCATTATCTGCTGCTTCTTTTCGTATGAACTCAACATAAGCTGCCCTGCTCAAGTATATGTGAGTCAATATACAGTTGCAAACAAAATGTACAGAATATAAAATGCGCAAAACAAACTTCTAAAACATACATCTTACCCTTTTGGTTGCCCAGTTGGCGCATCAGTAACTATAATCACTTTTAACACTTCCCCAAATGTATTAAAATGTCGAGACAGACCATCTTTGCTAGCAGCAAAATGAACCTGTGACAACCAAAAAAAGACAACTTTAGAAATCAAGCAGATCCTACCTATCCCTGAAGCCTGCCCTCACCCACCAAGAACATAGGTGTAAGAGTTATATTACATTGCTAATAAAAATGGTTCTGGAATCAACATCTTCTGTAGGACGACCAGCAGCACTAGAACCTGAGAATCCGTAAGACACAATCAATTCTTCACCTGATATATCGCTAAAGTCTTCAAGTGATACATTAAAAAATAATAATGAGGGTAAGAAAAATAGATTACAAAGCAAAATGCGACTGTATACATGTAACAGACCCTTCATAAAAAAATCATTTAACCAGCCAGAAATAAATTTTTACATGTATCTAATAAACTAGAAGAATTTCCACTGAAGAAGATTTACAACTCACCAGAAGTAGAAAACTGTGCCTTGCTAGACTCTTTCTGAACATCAGGGACATGATTTGCCTGTTAATTGTCAAAATATCATTGAAAATTATGTATAGCTAAACACTCAAACATGTTATATTCATTACTTTTTTGGATAAAATATTTAATAATTTTTCAGGTAAAATACATTCTGTCAACTCACTTCTCTGAAGTTTTTTGTCATCACTTAACCTCTATGTGGTTTGGTTTTAAATGAAAACGTTACTTTTTAGTTACATTAAATGGAATATCCAGAAACTTAAAGTTAAAACCAAACTTCAAAGAGTTACATGGTAAATATTTCAAGGAGGATAAGTAATAAATAAAAATCCTATTTTTGTAATGGTGAGGTCATATGGTGTGCACGTGTCCTATGTTCTGTATGATTTAACAAAAAAGGCATCTTTTCCACTTAAAACCAAACATCAAGGGTGTTAAGTGATAAAAAAAGAAGCTTAGGGAGGTAATTTCAAGGAGGAAAAATGCATTCTACCCTAATTTCTGAAACTCGGTATCTCAAGATTTATGCATGCATAAACAACTCACATTCCCAATACTAATTTTCAGATTGTTTGCATTCTCCTTAAGTGGTTGCAAGCTAGATCTGGGAGCTCCTTTTTCATAGTGTAAAGTTTTATGAAGACCTACTTCAGCAACCTCTCTTGGTTCCGGATATTGTGGCGGCTTCCAAGTATTTACATTAACAGAAATATTCAGTACTTTATGAGAAGTGTTAACTCCAGCAGTAGGTTGCTCCTGTTCTCTATTCCGTTTTAGATGCAAACTATCATCAGCATTTCTGGCCTCACTATACTGCACCATTAGTGAGTCATTGCCCCTGTTTTCAACACAGGAGCTGATATGAGAAGCTCCAGTCGCCCCACGACCCATGACGTTTATATCATCAAACTCTTCATTATCTGAAGTAGAATCCGAAGCAAAACCAGTTTCATGTTCCACCATAGTTGTATTTGCAGCATACTGCCCATTGTAATCAGTTTTTTGAAGATACAAAGATTGGTTTTGCTCCTGATGTTGATAATTATCTCCAAGTTGGTTGTTATCATATGATGGATTCATACCACAACTGAGCCTATCAAAGACACTTACTGAAGATTTGGATTTTATCACATCTTCAGCAGCTTCAGCCACAGCCTTAATCACTGTAGCCATTTGATTTGGCACCATGCAAGCAGGCTGCATCCGCTGCGGACGTTCAACCAAAGATGAAACGCTGGAGGATGTAGAAACTACAGAACGAAGACGTTTCAAGGAAGGCTCCGCTGACATGCCCGACTTGTTTTTCTTTGAAGTAGCCACTGCATCTCGCATTGCAAATTGAAGCAGCCTTCGAGGAGCAGCAATATTTACTTGTGAGACAACATCCCTCTGTTCAAGTTACTAAGTTAGATGTTTGAAAGCAAAGGATCAATAGGTACTTTGTTAATTTATAAAAAAAAAAATGCGAAAATGCAGAGGAAAATAGACTAACAAGGAAAGTAAAACTGGGTTCTGATTTATCTGCATAAGGATAGCATTTGTTTCTCTCAGACATTGGGTGACAAAAAGAAACACAAAATCCATCTAACAAAAGAGAAAACAGATAAAACATAAGGGCACAGATTAATGCAACCCATGCATTTCTCTTTCACATATTTCACCAATCTAAGAAATTTTCTAAAATGAAAGAATACAGGGTTAACATTAATTGAATCAACTAGTATTCCACCCCTCAGCTGTATAAACTCATTCACTTATATTAACAAGCACATGATCAGTATTGTGTTACGATTCAATTGTAAGGTATGGGACTTGAAGTCCCACATCAGAATACAGGGCTAACATAAAAAACATGAGGGTCTGATGTGGGGTTTATATGGACTTTGGGCTCTCCTACCTTACGAGCTAGCTTTTGGGGTGAGGTTCTCCCAATGTACGTATCATATTGAAACACCATTAGAATAACTTAAATATAAAGTTGAATTAAAACGTCTGAACTATACATTACATCAGGATAATATTGTAGGTTGTAGCATTTCAAACCTTTGTCCTTTGGTGGTCATCAGCTCGGCCCCTTTTCCTCTGAACTGGAGGTTTAGGAGATAGTGACCTTGGTCCACAATTGACTTGAGGTCGGGTTTTTTCCTCCAAATGAACATTGTCAATCTCGGAGCTTCGAATGGGAGTTGGTTCATCTTCTCCCTTCACCAATCCTTTCCAATATTTGTTATGCCGATTTCTAGATAACTTGTTAGATTTTCTTCTTCCTGACTGTGAATTCAAATGCTGAAAACCATCGCCCCCAGTTTGGCCCTCTGATATAAGCTTTCTTTTAGGAGTTTCACCCTGCGATTCTTCAGGTTGTACATATAAAACTAAATTCAAATCTAGATGATCCCACAGCCTGTTAACAAGATATACGTACAAATTAGCACAGAGTTATCGGTGTAAAAACTATATTACTTGCAATTAAATTAAGCTTAAAGTATCCATCAAAGAGAGACTAAACTGAAATTACCAGGATACAAAAGAATCACTGTCATCCCCCAAAAAAACATTCAATTCATTCCTTGCTTGTTCTTTGCGCCTACCATTCCTCAATAACACAATAACATATTCCTGCCATTGCATAAGGTAAACTTCAGTTTACACAATAAAGTCACGTTAATCTCATCAAAGTTTTAGTAACCCATAGTAAATGCCTTTACTCACTGGTTATTTCCTCCAAATAAGACATATCTAAAGAAGTGTTATATCCTTATGCAGCAGCAACAACAACAACAATAGCTTGGAGATAATAAAGAAACTCTGGAGACATAAAACAGCTTAGAAGACCTTCAACTCTAAAGTACTTGTGATAACTGAATGCTCAGCATCAATACAACAACAATAATTAAGCATTATCTCACTAGGTGGAGTTGGCTGCATGCCTACATCAATCAAAAAACACCATTGGACTACAACAAAAACCAGTTTTCCATAAATCTGTTTAGAGAAAGTCTTGTTTAATGGTTTCTCCTAAAATAAATGAGGGTCTGATCTTCCTCTACCTCTTATAATCAGAATATCTTCCATTTGGTCTGCTCTTCTCATTGGGGGCTGTGTTGGTCTTTTCCTTACATGACCAGATCACTTAAGATGAGTTTCCGTGTTCTCCTTAATAGGTACAACTCCAACTTCTGTCAACAGTTTTGTTTCTAATCCAACTTTTCTAGTGCGCACACTCATCCGTCCACTAGACTTACAGTTTGGCTCTTCTAGTTGTTGGCACCCTACTGGCCAAAATTCACTATCATAAAGAATCACCTGTCCTATACCTGTTGGGTAGAATTTTTTTTCTATATTTGACAGGCACTACGATATCACAAAATTTTTTACAATCATTCCAATAAGAGACACATTAAAGGCAATTATCGCATTCCACAATTTTATACCATTCCAAACAACCACCCAACCCCCATTAGATGCAGCACTAACATAGATACAACAAAAACTCAAATCATGTACAAAACCAAGTTGAATACAACTTTGTCACCACAAGGACCAAGTATGACCAGTGCAGTTCCCTAAATGTATGCTAATTGCTTTTCATTTCGTATTTTTTTCTTGGAAAAACAGACAAAAATCAACTACTGTCACTGAGACTTGAAAAAGCTAAGGCCTCTCCTTGGGCAAAAACCATTTCAATACCTTTTGAGAGAACTAACAACTAATTGCTTAATTGGAATCATCAGCTGAAAATTTCAGTTTTAGCAATAATTCCCAAAAACAATCTTTGTTTATTATGCACAAAATCTTTTTATCCCCTTGTATATTATCCAGTCTGTATTTTCACGCAAGTCTGTATCTAAGACAAATATACTTTATCCAAAAGTTACCTATAATTTTGAAACTGGAAGTGAAAGTGTGTGTCAGTACGTGCATGTGTGTTTTCAATGTCAAACATTTTATGGCATAACTGCAAGAAGCTCATTGTGCATGTGCATGCACATGCAACTGCCAAACATTTATACGGTGCATAAAGCCATAGAAATATAATATCTGCATCCAGGTTCCACCGAATCATAATATCAACCAGTATGGACATGAGATGACATGTCAAAAGCAAATATTATGCACTAGAATCTGCAACAAATTTTCAAAAACAGTACACATGATAGCTTTCAATGCTAATGCCACAAGCGGTCTTCACTTTTTTTAAATAAACCCATACATTTATTTAAATATCTCCACTTTACATTTAGCTATACTCCTATATACACTTTCCATAACTTGCAGAAAGCACCCTAACTATTCTAGCCACATTTTATAGGGATTTTTCAACATAACTCCGTTTCCAATCATTCACCTCATACCATAAAGAATATTTAGAAACAGTAACACTTTACTCATTTAAGAGAAAACGACGACTAGTTCATCATAGGAAACCACCAGGAGCTCGCTTATCCATTATCATAAGCACAATTTTGCAATCAATCCAAGACTTTGTTCTCAAAAATCATTTCAACACTCTAGAAGTAAACAGTATTCATTCGTAAACGGTGATGTTTGGGCCGTACCACAAGAGTGTCATCAGTGGAATCCCCCATGAATTCCTTGAGTTTCTCCTTCACACTCTCCCTGAGCTTCGCCACTCCGTCCGCGCTGAAGTTCACCTTGAACGTCCGATCGTCGTCTCGATCGACTCTCCCCATCTCCAATCCCATAAGTAAAACGCGGCAAAAAAAAAAAACCTAAAGAAGAATCTCTTCTCTCTATCTACCAAAATCGCGATGCTCTCGCAAACCTAACTAACTCTTGGGCTCATCAAAATCTACCGCGGAAGAATCAGAAAAGTGAGGAATCAGCGGATGAGAAGGGAAGGGAAAGAGGAGACAGTATCGAAACTTTTTCAAGAAAGTGACGGAAAATATTGGCGCAGTCATGGAAAATCCCCGCAGTTCCGTTTTCTCGGGGGAGGGAGGAGAGAATGCAAAAGATAGATACAGAGAAAGAGGGATGTAGTTTGCAGAAAAAAGAACCTAATATAGTACCAGTCGGTTAGTTTACCCGTACGACCAAGATGGCGCAAAACAGAGGACTGTTTATTGGTTCGGTGATGGTGTATAGACTCTATACCTAGTTGCAATGGAAACCTAACGAGACACGGGATAGGACGGTATAGGACACGATACGACATTTTGACACGTTAATTTTAAAAAATGTTAAATTGCGATACGTTAGGACACGTTTTGATATTATATAATATTTTTAATTTATGTAGTGTATATTCTATTTAGTATTCGATAATTTAACAAAAAAATAAAGCTAAATTTATAATACCCATCAATTTTGCAAAAAAACATAAGATATCTCAAATGTTTATATTAAACTCAATAAAATCGTAATCATAATCTAACGAATCTAATAGTTGGAACTCAAAATGCAATGCAACGTAATCTTTGAACCTTTTTTGAATCTTTGCAACGAGTATTGGAGTGTCGGGAAGTGTCGGAGTGTCGGTGAGTGTCGGGAATTGTCGAACACCACACGTCAAGATTTTTGAAGTGTTGGTGCTTCATAGTTATATAGTGCATTTGCAATTTGCCTTCATATATTGTTAATGCATATTTCCAGCTTTTGTTTTAGAATTTAAGTTTCATTCTAGTTGTTAGTTGTTAACAGGGGTATAAATAGGTAAGGTTAGATTTTGTCTTAAGCATGTTAGGTTTGTGTAAAAAATATTATGTCTGACCTGCCTGTTAATCTGTATAGGTCTCAAATTATAAAGTTTGGCATGATCTAAAAAATGAAAGTCTTGGGCTAGACCTGTTAGCTTGTTTAAACCTATTAAACGTTTAATAATTAAAAGAATAAATAAATAATATTATTTTATTATTCAAAATTATTAAATAATATTTTATTTATTTTATTTAAAATAAATAATATGATATAGGTCGGCCTGTAGGCTTATAGGCCCGACATGTATAAAAAAAGTCTATGATCTGTTTTCTAAATAAGTTTTTCTAAAAGTCTAGTCATGTTCTATTTTACTATTTGTAACAGGCCAAGTCTAGCCAATATAGGCTAAGTCATAGGTCTCTGTAGGCCGGCCTAATCCATTTACATACCTAGTTATTACTAACCTGTTATAAGACTGTTTGGGATTTCCTTAAAAGTTACTTTTAAGTTAAAATTAAAAAAATTATTAAAAAAACTAAGGGAAAAAATATCTAATGTTACTTTAGATAACTTTGTCTAGTGTTCATCGCAACGACGTCGTTTTGGGTTGAAAAATTAAAAAATTAAAATGATAAAGACTATTATAACCTTGAAATAAATTAAAATTATAAAAACACCATGATTTCTGTCCCAAAACGACGTCGTTTCGATGAACATTAGAGAAAGTTATCTAAAGTAACTTTAGAAAAAATAAACCCAAAAACTAAAGCTAAAACCTATTTGATTATATAAAAATTTTGGCTTAAAAATACTCATTTAAAAAAATCTCCTCTTAAGAATTTTTAACTTTTGACTTTTTTATATTATAAAAAAAAATTTTAAAAAATAAAAAAAATAATTTTTAAAATTTTTTGTAAAAATTTATTTGACTTAACTTCTGTTTATAAGAAAAAGATAAGATAAAAAGAAGACCTCATTAGTAAACATAACACATTATTTTCTAAAAAAAATTCATTTCTTTTATCTTTTTTAGAATTATTTTACTCAAAAATAACTAGACACGTTTCCACCGTACCCAATTTTATATTGGTCCCAATAGCTATTTATATTTTTGTTAAGTGTATAATGTATTCATATATTGACCTATCAAAATTAAATAATTATGTAATTACATGTTTGATAAATATTTTATTTATTAATTCGAGGTTATTAAAGACAATTTCATTCAAAAACTAAAATAAGCAAGTTATTCATATTAAGTTGACCCATATAATAGATATATCCTCTTAGTGTTAAATGTTTTGACATAAATAATCAACGGTGTGGTAACACCCCATTTTGAAATAATTATTCAAACATTATTTAGCGAAGATAGAAATTAATATAATAATAATAATAAGTGAAAAAATAAAAAATAAAAGAAGAATAAAACCTCTAGTGTACAAAATTAAATGGAAATGTATAAATAGAGACTACATGAATAATTCAATTAATAATTATTATTTTATACTACACTCCAAAATATATAATTCAATTACAAAATTATTTTACTGACTTGGCATGGTAATATTTCTCCTATAAATAGAGACTACATGAATCATTAGTCATTGCTTTCAAAATTGAGATATATCAATGAGTGAAGGGAGCTAAAAATTAGAGAAAACTCAACTAAGAAAGAGAAAGAGAAAAAGAAAAAAGAAATTTTAAAGTGAGTAAATTTTATAATAAGCAAGATAAAAGAAAACATTAAGTGTGAGGATAACTACTCTTTTTCTTCTCAAATATAAACTTTATGGAAATGTTATTTTGTTATTTAATTTGTTATTTCTTTTTTTCCCCCATAATTGGTCCTGATCGGAATACTGCATTTCAATTTATTTTATGTTGTTTATTTTGGCAATTTATATTGCAACAATTTACATTTTTGCAATTTATATTTCAACAATTTACATTTCTGCGATTTATATTTCTACACTTTATAATTATATACTTCAGTAATATATTTATTTATTTAACAATTTATATTGCAGTAATTTATATATATATTGACACATGAAGAGAATTAAGACAAACCAAAAACATAACAGAAAAGAGAGCCAAAATAATCAGCGACCACCCCTAATGCAAGAAGTGGTTGAAGAATTTGCAAGCAAAGATGTAACACCCTATTTATGATCGATATGTTATCATTACGTTTGATATTAAATGCAATTATAATCACAACAGTTGAACTAAAATATGGTAAACAATTTCAATAATAAATGTTTCCATTTTAAAATCGATTCTATATTTAACCTAATTTATGTAATTATAACTCATATACAATTGCGAAATAATTAAATCTAGCTCATACATATCATACATTGCCTATTAGTAATTACCATGTGGTTCCCATAAACCAACAAAGCCAAATTCACCATTTTACAATTTTTAGTATAAACAGTCTTCACGTTTTGCTAAATTAGGAATAATCTACCTGACTATAATTTCTCATATTTTAGTATGTTAAGCTAGACCTCTCGATATTTCCAATGGCATACTAGGTGCCCTAATTGGATATGTAAAACTCAAGATATCTCTGTCGTAAACTGCCTGCAACAAACTGATTTCTTAGAACAGGGCAGCGAACAGAAACGAAAACAGAGGGATGTTACTCCGGCCAGTTTATTCTTAAATTTTTATACAAGAAACTAAATATCTAGGACTTTAATTTTACATATGAAACATCTTGTTTCATTAAGGAGCGAAAGAGTTACGAATTTTACAAACTCCAACCAGAATATTGTCAAAATAGGGCAGTTTTGGGCAGTGTTCACTTTTTCCAATTCTGGGAGCGTTCTGGCACCCAAAAAAATTCCTTCTTTTAGGACAAGAACTAGGCACCTTAAGATTTTATTTTTTACCTCACACACTTCATTTGGTTAAGAAATGAATGAGATATGTCCTTTCAAAATTTGTGCTCACAAGTAAGCAAAATTTTGACAGCACTTCACTTCCTTGCTTTTATTTCTTAACATTTTCTTACTTAATTGACAATTTGATAACATGAACCAATTCTAGGCTTCATTCAGTGATTCATCCATGAACCAACTTCAGCTACACCAGTCATGCATATCACATAAAGATCCATCCATGGGTCTTTTACATCAACATTATGCACATGCATTATATGTATACAAATTGTTTCTCCAACGACAAACCAAATGTACAACATGATGACAAGTAAAATAAATGCATACATCATATGTGATACCCTATACATGCTCTCTAATAATATAACACAGGCATATCCAAAAGGCATAGACATCTCATATGCTCTTAAAATGCATAAACCACAAATTAGCAACAACAACAACATGCAAAAAAAGGCAATCTACATTGGCCTCCTGCCAATAGATGCTCCTACACCATCAGTATCTAAAAGGGGTCCTCAAAATGCGGGGTGAGATAAACATCTCAGTAAACTAAGGGTCCTTGGAGGATTCCTTCACCCCAAAGTTCACTTCAGACAACAAGCAATAAAAAACATAATCATGAATGTATGTATACATGCAAAGTGTGCAAATGACTGCCTAAAATTTTTGTTAGTGCCTCGCACCGTTCTTAGAATATAATTGACAGTGTCTTAGCCATCCCTCATGGTAAACATACCTTAAATAGGACTCTTAAGACAAAATAATCCTAAGGCCAGATAACAGTGTATGAATTACACAACTGTGCAACATACTGTATGAATTACGCAAAAATTGTCTTGCCACATACCCATGTAAGAATCCCTCTTACACCACACAACAAGCATCATACAATATACATTATATTCAATCTATTGCACAACTATATAACCAAAACCCACACAGACTTGGTGGAACAATCAAGAGATAAATCCCAAGGTTCGAAAGCTTACCTCTTTAAGCTTCCAAAGCAAATATTTCTTTACACAACAAGAAAACTCTCAAAGTCTTACTTTATGTCCAATCACCACAAAATACTTGCTATATTAACACCTATTCTAAGGTGAAATTGAAGTCATTCACACACACACAGACACACATATAGCAAGTTAGGAGTTTCCATCCCTAAACCACAAGTTAGAATCTCACCTAATCTTGAATAACTCAAGATTATAAGTCCATCTCCATAGATCAGTTTTTCCTTTCACCTATGCTCATTTGATTCAAACCTAAAATCAAACAAATACAATTTCGTCAACAATCATCCAGTCTACCAATTACTTGGAACACAAGTAATCAACACTTGAATATGTCAAATTTTTGAAATTCATCAAGATACTGAAAATGATGATTTCAATTCATTTTCATCGTTTATTTATACTCATAAGTGTAACATCCCGC